GAAAATGGTTATAATGAAAAGCTTTTTTTTTTTTTTTTTACTTTATTTTCTCATTTGTTGTTTAAATTCTGGATGGGTACAACATCTGAAAGAAGGAGATACATTAATGAGTAACTGTTTGTTATGAAAATGAGGGACTTTCAAATATACATTCATGATTTTAGTCAATTAAGAAGTCCAAAGTAAATTCAATACAGTAATTTTTTTTTTTACAAATTTCTAGGACAATGGAGTTTTATGCTATATAAAAAATAATAATTTAAATCAATGAAGGAACAAAGTACTTAAGATACTCACAACTCTGATCCTCTTGCCCATGGCAGTAGCTGGGAGGTTGCTAGAGAACTTCGCACGTACGCAGCCAGAGTTACCGTGAATGCGGGTCACCTTGCCCCAGAGGACACGCAGTCTGCTCTTGCCACCAGTGGGGACAGAGGTCTTATTCTTGCACTGAAAATAAAAATACATAATTAAAAGTCACTGTACAAATAACTTTGTAACTAAATAAATAGGGTTGGAACATATCCAGTAACACAGCTTCAACCTAGAAGTTATGAAGTCCCCACTTTCCCTTGTGGTTACAGTAGTTGGTATCCCGACCATGCAAACTCTGGAACAATCAGTGTCCAAGTGCATAAATCCAGAGCTACTAAACAAATTAGTCACTGAATTAATTTATTTCTACGACTTCCTGTCCTAATTCAACAATGTCATTTCAAGACAGAAGTAGAAAAAGGAAACTACATAACGGGGGAAGAAAAGAAAATAAAAAAATAAAAAAAAAATAAAAATCACTTTCACTTCTCAATATTTGTTCCATTTTACCAAATGGTTCACATAAAAGCAGATTAAAGATCCTTACAGTAATAGGTGTTATACACGGCAATGTTTTTAATTGAAAATTCACTGAAATGTACCGAAGTCCTACATGACTTACCATGTTTTCTGTACAGCATCACAGTCTAGGACCTTTCTCAAATGGAGAAGTACAGCAGCATTGCAGCAAACAAGTGTCTAAATGAAAACCTGACTATCATCACTCATCCAGTAGCATAGCCAATGGCTATGAAAACTGCAACAGGTTGTGGAACTGCGTACTTTGGCTTATGAGAACTCAAAACTCTGAGGTGTACAATTTTGTACAATTTTGTGCAGTATCTGTGCAACTGCCATATATGGTTTGCAATTGGGAAAACCTAAAGCCTCATTTTGTGAGAGACTGGTCTTGCTAGTCTTCATCTTGAAACACTTTCAATCATCATTTACAAAAGCAATGCTACAAGTGTTACAGCACTGTTGGCAAAGGTTTGCCTCCACCCCTATTCTTATGAATTGTACTCGGACTGACAAATCTCATTTTGTTTAACTGTTTTACATAATTATTAATCCATTTACTATTACATTATGGAGAAGCAATAAATACAGACTTATCAACATTTTAACCCAAAACCAACAGGTATGGTATGTATGTACATGCCATGCCTTTGACTTTCCATTGTTTTAACTCATAGATGGCTACACTTGTACAAAGTCACCAATGAACCAATTGTGAGCAATACTCGTCTCACCTGTTTATCTTTTCCCTTGACTTGAGAATATTATTATCTTATTTTGCTATAACTAATGTAAATAACAGTAATTATAATGTCTGTAATAAAAATAACACCATTCAAATTGATAGCACTAGTAAAACAGTTTTTCCTGCTAATTCAAGGGTCAGTAAGGTCACAAGGTCTATTAATCGATTCCTTTCTGGCTAAGCACTAGCAGAGCCATCTATGTGCAGGAACATTCCATAAAGAATATATAAAATGAGCATAGCATTTTCCCTTCATCTGTCAATGTCAGCCTCAAATGTCTTTTCTTAAGGTTTTGATAAGGTCACATTTCATTATTCTAAAAAATAAAAGTAATAAATAATATTGAGTTTACACAAATATCTAATTATGAATCACATATCACCTTCAGATAAGAGTTGTATACAATTGGAATTGTATACAAATGCTAGTTTTGTCATTGGATTTTAGTATGATGGATAGATGCATTGTACACAAAGTTGCTCACAGTAGCAAAAGCAACAGCAAATTGCTTCTTCCCCTTAGGCTACCACACACCTCAAATTCCTTCAGAGAAAACGGGTCTTCTATGAGGACTTGAAAATACAAGGGGAAACTCTAGAATCAGACTAGTTGAGATTCTGGGTAAATGTTAATCTTTAGTCTGTGTCCATTTCAGAAGTTTGATTATTAACCTGCATCTGAAGGGCCATGCCTATAGCCGTCATAACAGACTCACTTACCAAGCCAGGTATTGTTATAGGCGTCATGACATGCTAGAGCGTACTGAATGGATAGTTCTGCTACATGTAGCATACTCCCAGGCCAAATGGCAAGATGGTTGTCAGAAGTCACTGGAGTCAGTGCAGGAAAATAGCATCCATACTATTATCTACTATCACCCAGGTTTGGGAGGTTTTTAGTTTTTACTGCCCCCAGCTAGGGAACCATGGCAATCAGCTAGGGAAGCACAGCAATTGGATGGGGGGCCGGGGGAATTACCTCTGATTACGAAGGATTTTGGTTCATACAGCTATCCTTTTACTAGTTATCTCGTTTAGGCTGCAGTTCATTGTCTCCTTCCTTTGCGCAACATGTCAAATTCCTCACCCCAATTACTCTTACTTAGCAAATTACCTTCAAATAATCTTAAAAAGGTTTTTGAGGGAAAATGTGGCTTGTGTTTACCAAAATTCTGTAGTTTTAAAATCACTTTGTATGGAGGACCTGTTTGTGTGAGGACCTGTTTGTGTGAGGAACTGTTTGTGTGAGGAACTGTTTTAAAATCAAAATTTGTGTGAGGGATCTCTACAGTATTATTTAAACCATTCTAAAAGGATATGAGACTATATAACCACCTACTTTTGACTAGTAATAAACAAATATGCATACAACTAGTAATCGTTAACCTGACTGCAGCCCCCCTGAAACCCAAGCCAACAAACCTGGAAATAATCCTAGGAATCCATCTTCAAATTTTCCATCTTGAGGTCCTCATAATAGTAGCAACATGAGGTTAATGTTACCAAGAGCAATGCACACAGAAATAGACATCGCTGTCAAACAATGGTACAGGTGCTATAGCCTGATATTTATCATGCAGTTGACAAAAATATCTACTGCTCAGAGACCCAAGTCCGAAATACCCTCACATTGCTAGTTTCAATGTCACAACCCTAACCTTTCCTACCTTCTATTTATTCGCACCCTTTATCAGCACTCCATCCCTACTTAAAGAAAATACTATTTTTGTCATTTCGTAGCAAATATTAAGCCATTGCAACTTTACATGCATTGTTCATTAGTATTTTTTATGCTCTATAAAATGGCAATGTCTACTTCCCTCTATCTCAGTGCATCACTCTCAGTAACATTGACCACATTTTCTTAACAATTAGGGCAATTGGCATGAAATGCTAATAGAGAGGGGGTACGTGAGGGTTTTCTCTCCCTCTATAGGGAACAGACAGAAGTTAGAAAGTTTGGTTTCATTTTGCATGATACCCAAGTTTTAGGATCATCTCTGGAGGGTACTTTGCTCTTGTTAACAAATACCCAATAACATACTAGGAAGTTGGTTAACCTTGTGTAATATGCTTTACCTTGTAGACGTATACTGCGCGCTTGCCAACGTAGAACTTGCCATCGTCCTTGTTCTTGCAGCCCTCGATCTTCAGGAGAGCAGTGTTCTCATACTGGTTGCGCTGGCCACGCTTGTAGCCAGTGAACACAGCTCTGGCATAGAGCCTGTAGAAGGAAATTAAAATTAAAATGTTGTAATTGTCTAGAATAAAAAAAATGTCCTATCATCAAATTTCAATAACATTAATGTGGCAAGTTTAAACAATATATATGACGAACGAAACACCCGTAGGTTTCCACGTGCCAAGCAACACGATCCCATTCCCTCTGGTATAAGCAAAAGTATCGAATGGCAATTGCATGTGCTTGCTCTTCCTTTTACTAGGTCGTATCACATCTTTATAAGCCACAATAAATCTATTTCGCCCATTTGTAGTAATAAAATCTACATGTTTATCATTCACCTCCATTCCTTTCACGTCGACTAAGTACTATAAACAAGAACGAATACAGAGTCGTATGTACACGATTGTATTTCCGTAGTTCTATTCTATTGATGCAATTTTCGATTATATAAACTAAACTAGATTTCAACAAAACCTACCTTCCGGGTCCGGCACCTTTCTTCACCATTGTTCTGCAAAAGAAAAAAAGACAACCTTCGTAAAATCGTGCACAACACTTGCTGGTTCTCGGGATCACACCTCCCCACCCTATTTCATCTTTGATCATCCAGCGATATTACATATATACCACCCTCTCGTTCCATTCTCCTTCAAGACTGACATTTCAAAATATTAATTAAAGCATTTAACAATCATTTTGAAAATCTTTTAAGCTCTTACGACTGAAATTTCAAATGGTCACACGACAGCGGACAACGCACCTCGGACACAATGTTTACGAAAAGGACGGCTCGATGCGGGGGAAGCGGTACGTCACTTTGCGAATGTGATTTCCTATTTCATATTCTAGATGATGACTTTCACTTATGTATATTTATTTTGCGTTAATTATAATTTACATAAATTGATGTGTTTATGTTTTATATCATGGATAATATTTTGAAATGATGATAATATTTTATTTCTCCTATAGATGTACCACCTAAAAGCGCTCAAGACTAGCGGATATATTATCAACGTATTTTACGACGTTGGCTTCATTAATATTCCTACTTGATTTTGGCTCTCTTACTCCGTATTTAAAAATATTATATACCTACACTACTATCAGTAATGAATAAATGTAAATCTACCTGATAAGACATAACTACACATCTATTTAAAGTGCCAAATCAACCCGCATTCAACCCAATCCCTTCTCTGCAGCGACTCCCGCTACATTTAGCGTAAACAAACAGTCGGGAAACATGGCGGAAGACTGTCAAGTAGCTCCGTCTTTTCCAACAGAGTCAATTAAAGTGATTGCAGAGAGCATAGGCATTTCAGCAGTAGGCGACGATGTAGCTAAAGAGTTGTCAGAGGAAGTCACCTTCAGATTAAAGATCCTAATTCAGGTATGGACGGGAAAGGGAGCGCGGAGTCCTCAAAGGTTCTCCTCGAATTCTAGCTTGAGATTCGTAGCGTCATTTAAACTCGGTCTCTTCTTTCATACGAGCCCTATGATACTAATAATGATGATAATGATACTGATGTTATTAAAGTATGGAGTATAACTGCATTCAAAGATAATAACTAGTTCTGTGTAAAGGCTCGCAGCTTTTACCCGGTTGCTGACTTTTACCCGGCTGCTGACAGTTTAAATTTATGTAGTATTTAGTAGTAAATTACACACTAAATATAAAGAGTACTGCCATGCTGTCAAATACTGCTGGTACAATATGGTTATTAAGAATTCCTCTAAAACTTTATATTCACACCCAGAATGACAACAGTTGAAGTCCTGTCATGTCAAAGCAAAAAAATCCCAGATACCTAAATATATCAGTAATCATTGCCCTAAGCACCTGGATGATCTCTTGCACACCCGACTGCAAGCCAGACAATTACTAAACACTTGCAAATGAACCTCAGGTTTTCCAAATGTTATTGAAAATTTTGGTTAAAGTGTAGTAGGTCAACACACGGAATATTTCAAAGTGTATGCGCTCACATGTCATGCCTATATAAGCATTTAAATATTGTACTGCAACCAGGCTTCTTTGCAAGTTGCTCACAATATTTACAAGGCTCAATATGTCAAATATGTGGATCTGGGGTCTGGGTTAGGAAGGTGTTTGTAACTTAAGGTAATATATGTGGTAGTTTGTGCATTTCGGATGGGGTTCATTTGCTCATTGGTTCGGGTTGGAGATTTGACAGAGGTGATACTGTTATAAACTTTAACCCAATGGGGACGGGTGAAGAAAGCAAAAAAAAAAACTACACTCTGGCGAACCATGGCAGCGCGCCGACTTTGAGTGCGTGAGTTCAGTACATCAGGCGATATCACTGGCTTGCCGCGCTTTGGCACGTCGCACGCCACTTTTAGAGCAGTTTGTTTTCATGCCTGGCAGCATCACCCGTCGTGAAGGGGTTAATCAGGATTTTACCCAATTGTCCCATAATACTTAATGTTCTATGTAGTGCAGGGTATAGGCATCTTTCTAGGAATTAATTCATAAATGTTTGAATACCAGAGGATGAAAGGAATCCACCATATTGTAGTATTTAGATTATATAAGTAGATCACTTTGATAGTGTCTAGAATAAGGTCAATAATGACATTTTTTAGGAGTAAATACCGTTAAAAGACATGCATGAAATAAGCAGTTATTAACCGTTAAAGTTCTGTTCACCACAAAAGTACCTAGTCACATTTTGTATAACTAGTCCTATACCCTGTGATTGTGTAAGGCTCATTAAAAACTGGCAAGATTTTTTTGCCCACAACTTTTCCATTATGATTAAAATACTTATAGTATCCACTAATGTATCTGGCACTTTTTGGCAAATTTCATTTAACTACCCCCATACCTCCACTTCCCATGTAGGCCCTTCTCTGCCGGACCAACACAAAGTTCTGTTTTCCTCCCTCTGATTTCTTGTGAAAGAAATTAAGTGAATGACAAGGTAATAATTCTTGTACTGTGTGGCATATTTTCTTTGGTAAAGCCTCCAAACCTAGATCTTTTCCTTTTCCCTCATTCCCATTCACACACCATACTGCTATGTATCACATATCAGTATATGATGGTATATGATTGTCTTTTAACTATCTATGATTTTGAGTAATTCTGAATATAATTAGATAAGCAGTTTGTTGTTTTATGTGCTAGAAAAAGATACTTTATGTATGTGTTATTTACATATAGTATTATATCCTGATTTTCATTCCCATGGGAGAAGTAATTGTTATAAATATTTCGACTTTGCCCTCAAATGAGCAGGAGGGTGCATACTGGGATTTCCAGTCTCACAAGGATTTGGTGGTTGATACAGTAGATTGGCTTCCAAATTGGGAATTGCATAGGCTTTGTCAAGATCCACATAAACCTAGCCTGCAATCTTCTCCCATTGGTATCAGTTATAATACCTCAGGGGCCAGTAAGCCTACACCACATAAATTCTCAAGATAAAATGTGGACTGGTTCTTTATTTAATTCCCTTGACTGTGTTAAGCACCCATAGGGGCAATTTTGAACTGTTATTTATGACGTATTAGGTGACTATACTCCACATCCTTAAGAAAAATCTTTGTGTTCCCAGGCAATGGGTCTATATACCCTCAGACTTGTTTCACCCAAGAGAAGCTGCCATTTCAATCCGTCTCCTTTTTATAATGTCACCTTTCGAGGAGTACCACATAAGTAGAATATATCTATATCCCCCCTCTCCCTCCCCCCAAAAAAGAGAGCCTTGTAAATGGTTGTAAAATGTAATTGATTGTCCAAATGAACAAAATATTGAATGTATTCAAAGTTGTTTCTTTGCTTTACCGAAGATGATGCATACTGTCATCATCAACAGTCCATTTTTGTCTACAATAAAATGATAAATTCTTTTGAAAGATAAGCAGGATTTTAGGCATCCTAATGCATTTGAAATATGTTTTAGTAAACTGCAAGTAGTTTTAGTTGCTGTAGCTGCTAAATGACACATAAAACAAAATTTATTGATTCTTCACATTTTTTCTCCCCCCTTTTTTGAACGTTGTTACTATTAACCTATTTCATTTCCATTTGCCGAGACTTCTTTATACTTTGTCACTCTCTATTTCACAAAATAAGATATTAGTTATCTTAATCTTACATGTTACCATATTGCAGTCATCCTTGTTATTGCCTATACTTTTCTGGGAATATTTTCTCATTCACATAATCTGTGTTAATTGTAATGTTAAAGTGCTTTATTAAAGTACCACAACTGTATAAGTATATATTACAAAAGGTATACCAGTGTCTTATATATGCTAGGGGAAGGTGATACCCTGAAATACTTTTTTAAGCTACAGCTCTAAGCCTACAATAGTAAACTAATTCCCAACTATACAGACATTAGGAGTAGGCACTACTATATACTGTATTTCTTTTAATATCCTGTCTGAAAACAGAGCATACAAAAACATCATAAAGCATTTAGTAAACAAAGTTGAAAATGTTAAAAAGCATATATCAGTATGGAGATCAACTAAGAAGTAAATATATACTCACTGATTTTTGTGTGTGTATGTGTATGTGAGTGTGGGTGTTTTCAGTGTTTGTTGGGACTGATATAGATTTTTTCTTCTTTCCAGGATGGGATGAAAAATATGCATCATGGCAAGAGAAAACGTTTCTCAACTGCTGATTTTGATAATGTATTAAAACTAAAAAATATAGAGGTAAGTTTAATGAAACCCAGTATTTGCCAGTAATAATATCAGCCAAGATTTGTAACTAAGTTTTGGGGGAAAATTTTTAATTGTGCTTGAATTATGATACTATATATATATATATATATATATATATATATATATATATATATATATATATATATATATATATATATATATATATATATATATAATTTTTCTTTTTTTTCATGAATTATTTTATTTTTATATATTTTCTTTCAACATTTAGAATTAAATTTATTTGGTTACTTACTTAAAAAACATGAAGGAAATTATTTAGTATAAATATTTGGTGTAGACATAGGAGTAATAACATCCTTATGATATTTTTCCAGCCACTGTACGGTATCCATCCTGGAGAACATATCCCCTTCCGATTTGCTTCTGGTGGAGGACGTGAACTCCACTTTTTAGAGGATAAAGAACTTGAAATTAACGAAATGGTATCTTCATCAACACCACGGCTTCCGCTACAGATGACAGTCAAACGTTAGCTATTTTACAATTTCAGTATCACAAGACACTAGTGTCATTGGTCATTCATTTAGAAGTAACAAAGTTTAACCCCTCCCAAATAGGTAAAAGGTAACAATGCAGCACTCCCAGACAGGCATATTTTTGGATATATCCAGATTAGTGGGTAATAGTAAAGAAAGATCAAAGAGACTGTGGAGTTGAGAAGAGACTGTTAGTTCCAGTGAAAGTTTAAAAAACATTTAGTATAATATCACTTACTGCTGTCAACAGATAAACAAATTCAGTTCTTAGGCACTAAGCAACAAGCATAGGTAACTTGTAAAAGCTAGGGATGCAAAAAATAGTGATTGAGTACCGAGAGATGCTTCTTGGTAACCAGTTTCTCACACATACACTGCAAAACACTTTAAGTAATTACAGAGAGGTAGCAGTTACATTACTAATATCGCAGTGTATGACTACTGATGTGGAAATCTAAGGCATGCATACTGATATCTTTCTCCCTCTTAAATAGCACATTGGCTGGCCATTGAAGGTGTACAGCCTACTATACCAGAAAATCCTCCTCCAATTACTAAGGATGCTCAGAAGAAGGACTCTGTGGATCCAGCAGCTAAACTGTCAGCTCAGCAGGAGAACAAGGATCAGAAGCATATTCATGGGTGAGTCTTCTTTGTGAATTTCCTGTATCCCATTTTTAACACTAAAATTTTTGATCCATAATCTTAATGTATATACAGTGGTCTTGAAAGTAACATGAATTGATATGAGTTATTTTTTAATGTAATTGTAATCAATTAAGCTTATATTAAAATTTACCCAATGTGTTTTCCCCATTAGCCGAGGCATGAAGAGCATTGAGACAGTAAAGGTGAAGCAGTTGGCTACTCATGAACTTTCTGCAGAACAACAGCTTTATTACAAAGAAATCACTGAAGCTTGTGTTGGTTCTGATGAGCCCAAAAGAGGGGTAAGGGAGGCAAATGCTTCTTTAGTTCTTTTAGTATTGAAATTAGTCATTGGTTGTAATTTTTGAACTTTAGTGTTTGCTACATGAATGAAAATATCATTAGGTCCATATAAAATAACATCATTACAAGGAAATAAGCAGAGATAACTTGCTCTCTTCATCCATTTTGTAATATTTCCAATGGGGATATTAAACCCTTACGATCTGGATGACGTGACACCATGAAAAAATTTTGCTTGACGGACAAGTGACATGAACATACCATCATGGGAAAATGGGTGGTGGTTACGTGAACTTGCTGTCATGAGCATTTCAGCTGAAGGCAGCAGTGAGAGGAAAGACTCACCTTGAATTCACAAACCTCTCGGAGGATGGTTAGGAAGGAGCTTTTGCTTTATTTCTACCGACAAACAAGTATGGAATATATTGTCCATGAGCCATGATTGCTGGCCCCAGGGAAGATTATATTTCCATTCTCAGGATCCTATTCCTGGCTGTCGTGACAGCACAGGTTGTATTACAAATAATTGACAAAAAACACACACACACACACACACACACACACACACACACACACACACACACACACACACACACACACACACACACACACACACACACACACATACATATACACACATATACACTCACAAAGAAAATAGCATTTCAAAGGGGAGGTTTTGCACATGAGTGGCTGATCAAGTAAGCCTAATGACCATATTTTGAGCCATATGATGGCAGTGAAGCATCCAGATCTAATGGGTTAATTACTTTAATTCTTTTCTATAGAAAAGTGATTTTTGCTAACTTTTAATGATATGTAAAAATAGCTATCTTGAAGATTGAGTATACTTCTTAATAATATCTATTTCTAGGAATTTTCATTTGTGAGAATTTTTCTGGCCAAAGTATTAACACATAATTTCCTTCATTCCAGGAAGCACTTCACAGCTTGGCCTTTGACCCAGGTCTCCACCAGATGGTCCCAAGGTTGTGTACTTTCATTGCTGAGGGCATTCGGGTGAACGTTGTGCAGAAGAACCTGGCACTTCTCATCTACCTTATGCGGATGGCTAAGGCGTTGTTAGACAATCAGACTCTTTATTTGGAAAAATATGTAAGTTTTAAATCAAGTAAAGTGTTTTTAAAAAGTTAGGGTTTATGGAAAAGGGTTGGGTTGAAAAATTGCATGTAGTATTCTCAACACCTAAATGTACTGCTGAAAATTGTGACTTAACACTGATTTTCATTACTTTATTTCAGATGCATGAACTGGTACCATCAGTGATGACATGCATTGTGAGTCGACAGTTGTGCATGAAGCCAGACATGGATAATCACTGGGCTTTAAGGGATTTTGCTGCCCGCCTTATTTCGCAGATTTGCAAGAATTACAATACAACCACAAATGGCTTGCAGACTCGAATTACAAGGGTGTTTTCTCGCTGTCTTAATACAGAGAGAACTCCCCTGTCTTCTGTATATGGTGCTGTTGCTGGTAAGTAAGGATATGAATCTTTCTTTTACCCAGTATTAGGATGGAAAATACTAAACTACTAGATTCCAGAAATGTGTTTTATGTATTACAACAAAGGATTTTTACTCATTAACCTTGAAGAAAATAAACCATAGAGCTTGAATCAAAAATACAAAATCCAGTGTTTATAAGTTTTACTTATCATGTCCATAAAGAACACTTCATTCATATATTAAATTTTACTATTGTATATCAAATTGCAATTTAATACTTATTAGATTTGACCATTAACCCGAAACTGATGGACATGGTATGTACATACTTTGACTTTACTATATTAATTGTTTTTGCACATAGATAGCTCCACTTGTACTAAGTCACTAATGAGCCAATTATGACTACAACTTGTCTCACCTGTTTACTCTTTTCATTGACTTTCTAAAATATTTTATGTCTTCTAATATTGTCAATAACATTATTGTAATTATAATGTCTATAATAAAAATAACACCATCTATATTGATAGCATTAGCAAGAAAAAAAAAATCCCATATATTCAAGGAAAGATGAAATCAAGTAAGGTCACAAGGTCGACTAATTGACTCCTTTGTGGCTAAGCACTTGCAGAGACATTTCACAAAAAATTGTAAAATGAGTTGTTCGGCCTGATGTACCGAACTCCCTTGCTCAAAGTCAGTGCACTGCCATTGATCACCAGAGTGTGTTTTTTTTTTGTTTTTTTTTTTGTTTTCTGTTTTCTTCACCCATTACTATAATGTTATAAACATTAGTAACAGCTAAATAAGATAACGTAAAATATTTTTGTAAATTAAAGAAAAGGGTAAACCGGCAAGACGGGAAGTACAAGTACAAGTGTAGCCATCTATGTGTAAAATATATTAAACAAGTAAACTCACAGTGGGCGTGTCATGGATACATGACACCCGTTGCAAATGGGTTAATTTTGAATTTTGTGATTTGTTGAAGGAAATTACACAATATATATATATGGCTGCTTGTAGGCCATACATGTGCATGGTGGCAAGACTCTTTGCCTCATGCAAAATGCAAAAGCATTTTTAGCTTTTTAGCCATTTTCCAATGTCCATATTTGCCATTTGATTTGCATTATCCAGATAGTTATAGTTTTTTCTTTGCACAGACTCCAATAATATCTCAAGGTAGTGTATAGCTCAGTGCAAGAAAAATAAGACTGTGTAACACTATATTACTTTTTTTCTTCTTTCTTCTTTTTCTTTTTGCATAATATTAATTTTCGTGTAATACAATTTGCGTTGCCGCTCATGGCACCAGGAATATAATGCCGGGCGTGGAAATCGCATCTCCCATGGAGCTGGCGCTCTTCCAGTCACCTTTCATGGACATTTCATTCCACACTCATATATTGATGGGAATAATGCAAAATCACCTATAAGTAAAATAAGTCTCCCAATAGGTCTGTGCACTCGTGGCTTACAATGACCTACAGACAAAAATGTTATGATGATCAAGCTTGGTTCTTTTCTGATTTTGAAATAAAGATCTTTTAGCCCACATCTTTTTTCCTCTAGGAATATTGAAATCAAATTCTATTGTTTCCCATCATGGTAGTGTGGATAAAGGAATCACAGTTTCCTCTTATTACTGGAACATTATGATACACATACTGTCAATGATGATAATAAAAAATAACAATATATACAATAATAGCATTAGAAACAAACATGTTTTAAAAAATATCAAGGAATGGGGAAGTCGGGTCACATTGGGTTGATAAACTGCCTCTATGGTGGCAAAGCACTTGTGGAGCTATCAAGGTGGAACAAAATTCAGAGAAAGCTACAGTCAACAGTACATGTACGCAGGCCATTGAGTTAACCCATTCGCGACGGGTAAAAATGAAAAAAAAGGGGGGGGGGGGAATGCTGTGCTCATTTCTCATATATTTTAAGTAAAATGTCGTTACACTAGATGGCTCTGCCTTACCTGATTTCACCTTTACTTGAAATAGCGGGAAAATATTTTTACTAGTGCTAAGAATATCAGTGGTTATTTTTATTATGAACATTATAATTACTATAATGTTATAAACATTAGTAACAGCAAAATAATTTTTGTAAATTAAAGAAAAGGGTAATTAGGTGAGACAGGCAGTACAAGTACAAGTGTAGCCATCAATGTGTAAAAACAATTAAACAAGTAAACTCACAGTGGGCATGTCACGTATACATTACACCCAGCGCGAATGGGTTAAAGCTTTTTACCAAATCACGTCCCATGAGCAGTAATTACCTTGGAACAGTATATCATTCATTCCAGGGAAATGTTTAGGAATATAATTTATCTCTTTAATATAGCCTTTCAGTTCAATTTGTTTAAAGTTTTGTGTCTCTAATTATTGTTCTTTATTTACAGGCTTGTCAGAACTTGGTCCTGAGGTGACGAAAGTATTTGTGTTACCCAAGCTTCGGGCATTAAGTGACAAGATTGAGCAGTGCATGGAGGGCATGAATGCTTATGACAAGAATGCTGCTTCCCACATCAAAGGCTTATTACTGGTAAGTGTTGAATACATTCTAAGCTTTAATGTATTCAGGGAATCTGGATCATTCTTTTTCACATCACACTTTAAAGTAAAATTATATGTTGGGTATATGGTACTTTAGTTCAGTTGGTAATTTCAGGTGTATGTCTTGTAGTGTAGCATGTGTTTTTTGGCTAGATCCAAAAGATTATATTGCCTATGTACAATATTGTAGCTTAAAGTTTTAAGTTCAGCTTTCCTATTAAAATGGAAAGTCTTTTTTAACAATGTTTAATTTCCTTATTTATAAGTGCCACTCCAGTGAAGAGCCAAATAAAAATTTGTCTGTATACATATTTTTAGCTTTTATATTGTTTGAGAATGTCAAAAATGTCTGCAGAATGAATGAGAAATAACAGGTTTAGATAAAAAAGAATGGAAAACATTTTTTCTCACATTTGCCAGGGTGTTCACCTTTTTCTTTTTTAGATCATGTATAGTAACATTTCGTTCCATTATTTTTGGTTAATCTTATTCCAGCATAAGTACATAATTGCTGTTTCAAATCAAGCAATTTCTTGGAACGTCAAGCATAGTAGCTCGTGGTCAATGTTCAGATTGAGTTACATCAGCCCCTTTTAACAGTTACTGATGAATGTGTATTCTTAAGAGGCATCTCAGAAGATCAGAATATTCTCGAAAGACAATCTCAGTTTATTAGATTAGGTTGATGCTGTAATGACTAGCCCTTTCCAGCTGAAAGGTTTGTGTGCATCTCCAGCAGTAGAACCACTACACTGACTCGGATGTGGGAAGTCCCGTGAGATCACGGCGACATCCCACTCTGTGTCTC